TTTGTCGAAGAAAATAGCAATAACAACCTTTACTTAATACGACGGGAAAAATGTAATTTGAATTTCAGAAAGTGTGTTTTTTGTGAAGAGTTTGAACAAACTGGCCTAGGCGCTAAAATATGTTCCCACAAAAAACTTAGCTCATTAGTAATTAAATATGTAATTAGTTACAGAGCAAAAGTGTACTTTAAGTATAATGCCAAGTCAAATAAATGAAAACCAATTTGAAGCTAATCCCAAATGCGTGGTTAATAAATGTAAGAAAAATGAATGAATATAAACTGTGCTTTAGAGTTATCACTACGCTACCATAAAGCATTAATTGTTTTAAGGAAAATCTTGATATTAATGTGAATGGGCTATTGAAGATACCTAACCTTTTCATTTAGACATCAACCAATCAATGGATAAGGACGGGAAAAGGTGATTGGTGGAATGACTGTAAGTTGCATTTCACGGATGTAAATTCACGCAGGACAAGGCCGAGAATCTGAATTATTGAAAAAAAGCATCTTAAGGTCAACAACAGAGGGGAGTGCTGCGGGTCCATCAACAGTGAGTGAGGGTTTTCATATGACTCATTTTGGTGTTTCTTTTAATTATTGACTTCGACCAGCATGTATTCTATAATAATGTTGAGCACATGTGCTGATGTGGCAAACAAATGCAAACAAAACGTGCCAATAGCATGTATGGTAGAGGTATTCTTATAAACCGATTTGCATAGGCTTTATTTTCAAAAGTAATTACTCAGCAAAATGCTTCATTCAATAAAACCATTTGATCCAAATAATCAGTTCTTAGAAATGGTAAGAATTTGGACAAGGGGTGTGTGTTAGACTTACCTCCACGTGGTGTACCCTGAGCAACGTATACTCATACGGCAAAAAAGTCTATTACATGGCAGTTGACTTCAAACTACCATGACCCCACTGTATGTCATATTTGACTACTTTCACAGTAGTCATCCCACCTTTTTTCCACCTTATCTACCTTCGTCTTTGATACACTCTTCTGTTACCACCCCCCCCCCCCCCCCCCAATCAAAACATTATCAAACAATCAAAACGCCTGTCATTTGACATAATAATAATAATAAAAGAATTTGAACAACGAAAGAAAATAGTCACCCATAATTCCTACCCATATGTAGTCGCTGCTTTTGGTACATGTATTTTTTCACAGGAGTCACTCCCATATATTATGAGGAAAACGTGACCTCATACAAAACGTCTTTGACAAAAGTGGCAACTATTTAACTCCCCACTTGTACTAACTTGGTGCCAAGGTTACAACAACGAAATCCAGGTTTTAACCATTGCAATGTAACGACAAATGTAGATTTTTATGAAAAAAAGCGGAGTGGCTTTCTTCGTTTTCCAATCTGTTTAATGGCAGAAGAAAGTATGGACAATTCAATAATGTTTAATAATTACATCATTTCCTCAACTCCCCATTTTAAAGTTGACACCCAGTAAGAAATTTATCATTTAAAAATTCTTTCATAAAAAGAAATTAATGCGTCTATTTACCATGTCGTCCCCAGAATTATTCTTGTTTTCTGAAAGACTATGTTGACTGGTAGTGAGACACCATTTCGAATGAGATAAGGTATATTGGTAGTTCTAATAAAATGAATCTACTGAATAACTAGTACACTATCAGTTACAAAAAACGACAATAATTATATATGCTGCGAATGGCCAATCGCTCCAAGGTTACTTCAAGTCAGTAAGGTTGAAGCGAAATGCTAGTTTTTCATGAGGGTGTTCGGGTTCAATTTTACAGAGTAGGCACTCCTTATTTCATACGCTAGGTATTATCAAGAACAGAAGATGAGTGGGACCAACCTGAATCATGGAAGCGAATCACTTTTATCGTGGTGAATCTAGTCACCCATTCAAATATGGACAATAGGTTCGCTGTTCAGTTCTCCCAGAACACTATGAAAAGCATCTGCCGTGAACTGGAGAATCGTAATGGTGGCTACGAGGCTGCTGTGGCTAGAAGCATGTAACACAGCCGATCGTCTGGTCTGATCGCGTATGCACAGCAGTCTTCTCGTAAAATCGGCTGCAGAAAAACTTACTAGAGCATCCAAGAATAGGAGTTCGTTATTTGCAGTCCTAGTTAATTGATCACTTCAGTTTCTGCCATGAAACTTGCATTCAATGAAGACCTTCCATACTTCTACTCATTCGAGAACAGCAGAGGTTAACTTAACACATAGCAAGCCTTCCGGAGCAAGGTAAAACTCATTGCTAAAGCACAAACAATCTGGTTTCTTTCCAATGAGAAGAACTTTTGCAAGGATCTGAGGTACAAAACGCGGAGTAATGGAAAAATTTGTTTAAATACAATCTCGAGTCATTCAGACCCTTTTTGCCCAAACGTTCATGGTTTTCCGATGTCATGCTCCACCACTGCCATGAGGCCTCTCTCCACGTTTAGAAGAGGGGCTTAGGTTAAAAACAGATGCTTACTTGTAAGTGTCAGCCATGGCGGTAGTCAAGCCAAGAGTGTTTCTTTGTCAATTATTGAAACTGCTCCACGCCCAATGTATGTTAAACCTTCTAAATCCTCACCACCCCACCCCCGCCTACTTCCTCAGATTTTAACTCATTTAACTAAAGTGAATTCGGTGATGTCGAGGGAGATACTAATAGACATAATAGTGCCACGCAAGACCGACCAATTAATAGGCGGAATTAAAACCACTTGTAGACCCACTAGCTTGCTTCAGGTTCAAGGGACGGAACGGGATGGAGGTCATTTAGACAAAAGCCCTTTGATGATAGTACAATTTGCAGGTCTATTAAATGTCTGTCAAATGTTTCCTGAACGCTCTGTATTCGGTTAGGCAACTTGCAACATCCGACATGCAAATTCAACCACGTGAGGTATTCCCATCTCCAACAGCAATATTTTCGGAATTCACCTTAACGTAAAGGTCAATCACCATCCACCCGAATCTGTCAATTCGAAGCGTCGCTACTTAAGTTTTTTTCAGTATATACCACCAAACTATTAGTCAAAATAGCTGCACTTCATGGCAGATTAGACTAATGGGAGGCTGCAGTGAATATCTAATTCATTAGAGAAAATCCCAAAAAGGAAGCATCAATTAGTAGAAACAAGCGCGCACAGATCCGCCTGAACTAAAACACCAGTATTTATGCGCGTTATTTTTATAGGAGGAATATAAACAGCACATCTGACACAAGGGCGGGAAAAAATACGTGAAAACAAATGGAGATGAATGGTTGCACTTTGAACAAAAAGTACATTAGAAGGAAGGCAAATAAAGCAGAAGCAAAAAAAAGCACCAACGCTTCAAACGCGGGAGGATTAAATCTCAAATCAAGCAACCTCAAACAGTGCACCCTTTCCATGCGCACAGAGTGTTCTGGAATAGAAGACACTCACTCGCAAACAGGCATGTCAATCAGCTAAGGAGGGCATGATGGATGGAATATCCTCGAATAAAAGCTAACACAAATTATAATATACGCACACAAACACACTCAATATCATATGCTAATTAATAAAGCTGTTGTTGCACACACACACACACAATCGTGTTGCTCCAAACGGCGTAGAGGGACTGCATAAGTGTAGGATACTTAAAGACGGCCAAATCGATTTGATCATTTATTGAAAATAGTAAAGTATACTAGCGCTGTAGCAGTATGGTAGAAACTTAACCTGAACAAATAAAGGCTGTTAAAGATGGGAAGGACAATAGGAAGGGGAAACATGGGGCCTGTACAAACTCGCAAACAAAAGTGTTGCAAAGTTAGGAGGGAATAAGGGAGAGATAAACTCTTCCAAGTTGAAAGAGAAAGAACTAAAATGGAAGAGATGAGGCTCAAAGTTTCCCATCTTTTACCAGGCATCGCCAGATGTTTTACCACTACGGTGGTTAAGCTGCTGCTGATTACCTACAGAATTCGAAACACGACCTAGTTTTGCTGGAATAAGAGAGGTGTGTTTTGTTGGGTCGCGTCGACGTAGCACGTTGTGACCGACATTACTCACAGTCACCTCATCACTTGAAGAAGTGCCATTGCCGGAAGAACGACGTCTGAGTAGATGCCAATCAAATACATAGTCCATTTTGTGGCCAAAATCACGAAAGAGAGTTCGAAATAGTTGACGAAGGTAACAATAGTCGGGGGCCTCATCAAAGCGTAAATTTTTGCAATAATTGAGGTAAGTTGCAAACTCTGACGGAAACCCTTTACAAAGAACTTCAGGTGGTGTATCCATTTTCTTATCACGGATTCTTTCATACTTCTGACGTTTCGTGTTTGCCTATGAAGGCCAGACGTAAAAAAATGACGCAATAAGATAGATTAGTGGGTCAAAACTAAATATTACATGAAAAGCAAGCAGAATAAACAGTTGAAAGATATACTAAAATGAATTAAATGAATCTTAAATAAAATATAGGTTGTGACTAACCTTTAGACCTTGCCAAGGCAAGCTGCCGCGACTGAAATACATCAAAACATAACCCAGAGCCTCTAAATCATCTCGACGAGATTGTTCAATTCCAAGATGTGTATTCACACTCGCATAACGGGCAGTCCCAGTCAGGTTTTTGTTATCTCTGAGGGATTGAAAAGAAGGTAAATAAAATGAAGCATACCTGTAAGGGATGTGCTTCTTGGCTTTAGTACACATATATTTCTTTGCAAGTCCAAAATCAATTATAAAGACTCGATTGCACTGACGACCCATCCCCATAAGGAAATTGTCGGGTTTGATATCACGATGGAGGTAGCATTTAGAGTGCAAAAATTCTACCCGGGATATCATCTGATCTGCTAACATGAGTACAGTTTTTGTGGTGAAATGTCTCGAACAGTACAAAAATAAATCCTCAAGACTAGGTCCGAGAAGATCGATAACGAGATAGCAGTTATCACCTTCGCGTCCGAAATACCTAAACAAGTTAATTATAGAAATAGTATTACCTCATGCGAGGAATTCCAGTGCCACCACTGAAAGTTTGATATAATTTACTTTCATAGAATAATTGAGGGTGTTTAATTTGATTGGTTTCTACTTTAACAGCTACTTCCTACACACATTTAGTAAGCGAATTGAAGACATACTTCGCCTGTTTTTGTGTTAATTCCAAGATAAATTGTCCCAAATGAGCCACTTCCTATTTTTCGTGTTAATCTGTAAGTTCCTCTATTAATCAGATCCCCTTTCCCATGAACGGAATCCGCCATTATTCAATATATTGATCCGATCAGATAAAAGGGAAACTACGAATAGCACTAACAAGAAAATTTTAGGGAAGGCGGCAAAATAATAGCCTATGATAACAAAATTCCGATGTTGCAGAGCTTCGATTGGTCAATAATTATAAATGGTGAATATAATCTTTCCAAACATAAATTCCGGAAAATATTAACATTTAGACATTAACATTTAAAGTTAAAAATTTCGCATTTTGTCTGTAAAAAATAACTTTTTGTATTAGTTCCAGCGTCTACAACAAATTGCTTACAAAAATTGCATATGATAATCGAAATTTTATTTATTTGTTTTAAAACGCTAGAAATAAATTATCCTTTGTATTTTTAATTGTTCCTCTTTTAAGTAATATATCATTGATTTAAATTCATTTTTTCCATATAGATTTTTAATTTCACCTTAATTGCAACTCCGTTTAGCCTAAAAATTTAATTATGCTATAGAAGATGTGTTAATTGTATTCAATATATTGAATAAACATAATTTGTCTAAAATTTTTTGAGGCGGGTATATTCATTGTAATGATATGCAGCAGGTTCTCAATGTGCACTTATATATGAGATTAATAGAATCTTGTTTCTTCGCAATAAGAACACTGTTGCATTTTTAAACTCAATTTTTTTGTGATTGAGATAATTAGGTATGCTTTTAATCATAATAAACATGATTACTATTTCGAATTGATTTAAAATCTAATAAATTATGGTGTCCTGGCCAACTGTGTAACGTCATTGCAACACAGTTGACTTTTCTTATTTAAATTGAGGCACCAATTCAAAAAATGGCACAATTTTCCTTTATTACCTCTAAAGTTCACGTGACACAAACTAAACGGTCAATTAAACCAACTAAATCAATTTTAATACACGAGAGCACAGTTTCTAGTTTGTTGTTTTAAAATAATTTTTTGCGTATTGTAAAAGGTTCGTTGGAGAGATCATTCAGTTATTAGAAAACAAAACATAATGCTATCATCACGATATTCAGCCACGTGTGTGTTTATAAACATAACCAAATTTTCTTTTGAGACAAAGACGACTAGTCATAACGGCTTAAACGAAAGGCACACTTATAATATAATAAAACTAATTATAGTTTTAACCTGTTATAATGTATGGAAGTTATTGTTTAGCACCATTTTGGCATTCATTTCAGTAAAATATGATAGCTCTCTTTCAGATTCATGATTTAGTGCATAAATCTCGAAGAATACTTCATATTTAATAGGTTTACTTTCATTTTTGAATAAAAGCGGTAAAATAAAATTACTTTGAATTTATTGCACAAAAACCTTGAATAAATAAATGAATGTTTAAGCGCGAATTTGTATCTATTCACTCTGAAAAAATGGACATCATGTATGTGAAAGCAATGCTATCTTGTGTGCCCGATGAAAGCTCTCTTTCAAAGTAATAAAATTTATACAAAATAAGTCTCAGTTACGAGCGTTTACTAAAAATTTTAAAATATGTTCTGACCTCTCCAGAAAGAAATTTTGATTACGAAAGTTTACCTATATTTAAGGAAACTTATGATCTTAACTTTTGTATATGTATATCTAATTATCAACAGGATATTGTGCGAAAGCGAGAAGAATCTTATTTCAAATATATACAAAATACAATTCAAGTATAATAAAATTTGATCTTCGTAGCATTAGCTTATAACGCCTTCATTAAAACATACATTAAGTGATTTATTGGCCGAATTCCATACCGCTTCGACCTGTGGAATTGGTAAAGCAATCTTGGCAGGTAAACAGTTTTCAGGTTTATCGGAACAAGATACGATTGTTCTCTCGCACAAAATTGGAGCTCTCATATCGAATTTAGACAAATGTGACTTCAGGTTCTGGGGGAAAATATTTAGCCAGACTGCAGATTACATAATAATTGAAACGAAATTTAAGAAAAGTAAGCTCTTATTGACGTAATTTCTAAATGTTTCAGAAAATTGTGGCGATATTGGAGAAACACCCTCGACTTTTGACGAAGGCCTCAATAGTTATACTTACTTTGTGTGTACCAGTATCGACGGAGAATGGATTAAATTACCAGACGTTTCGCCTGAGATGGTATAGTTTTATCTTTTGTGGATTGCAAAGTATATCTTAGATCTCTCGTTCTAGAAATATACATGTATATTTTACGGGGAATTTGGAAACTGAACTCAAAATGGACTCCCAGTTTTGTGCTAGAGAAAAACATCTGTTGAGAGCCCAAATAGCTCGAATTAGTGCATCAACTCACATTTCTCCCACTGACTTTTATCAACTCGATACTGATGAAAAACTTATCAAAAATCCTGATTACGTGCCAATATTTCCATTGAATGAGTCAGAATTCAGCCTTGATGACTGGGTTCATCATAGGGAGTTCATCCGTTCACTAGGAAACACAAGGTAGACTTTAAACCAAAATTTAAACATTCGGTTCATTAAAATTCAGATCTATTAGCAGTGTATGCATATTGTTTGCATAGACTTCATGCTCAAGCTTGAAACTTACAAACCAGGCAATAAGTTAGTAGCTCACCTTTTGCAATCTTATAATCAATGTTATCAATAAAAATATTGGATTATCTCTCTGCAAATGATTTACCACTATTTAAGAAAAATTCCAGCATCGAATGATAAGAATTCTGAGCCTTTAAGCTCATGGTAAATGTAAAAATTATGATTAAGTAATTGCTCATTTCATCATAAAATTAGCTTTTTCCTCCTCTAATTAAGATCTTCACAGTATTAACCTACTAATCTCAAATTCTGCACCGGTTAAACTCATTTTTCATACCCACTAAACTACGAACTCCCATGTACTCAAGGTTGAAAATGGAAAAATGACTGCATTCGTTAAGTCTTGGTAATTACAATTAGGACCATGTTTTCGTTGAAGCAACCAATAGCAAACGAGTATTTGAAGAAGTAAAATTAATTGGGTCATACTCTGCGGTCCAAATTTAGGAATACATAGTCTATCAAATGGAGAAGATTATTTGTCAATCCAAAAAATAAATGGTGTTGAGCCAAAAATGTACCTTGAAATGGCACTTTTTCGCTTCAAACAGAGCCAAATGATGTGATTTAAGCTTCGTCAGATTAGAAGTAAAAATTGTGAACTTATTTTCAAGTAGTTTTTCCCTGGTAATCAAAGGCGGTAAAGTGAGTTATGTCGCAGTCAGGTTTGAAAGCTTAACCATTTGAGACACATCAACTGCGAGAGTGAATTGAAAAAGTTTTCTATTTTATTGTTAGTATTTAGTTCGGATCTTAACAGCACTTTGGCATTGTCATTTATAATTTTGGGTGCGTAATGGGGGTTAAGATGATTGAACTAAACTAGTGAATAATAAGTTTAAAAAGTAATCTCCTGTCTTCTTGATATATTAATTTTTCCAATGTATTATAATTATTGTTTATTTTAAAATCTTTAGTGACTGTGTGGTTTACGAACTACACTTACTACTACTTCACTATGACTTTAATAAAATAAAATACACGATGTATTATCCTCATGATATTCATTTATATTTCCCTGTAACGAATGCTACGCAAATAAGCCTCGACTAAACCTCGACGATCCTCTCTGGCAAAACTCCATAGTATGAAATTCCACCCCGAAATTAGCTAATCAATCTCAACAATGCGGAGGAGACAGAACTCAGAATGTGTGAATAGCGTTCATACTGATTGTGTGTGGCATAGGTACATGCAACTACTATTAATTGTCGTTGACTGGCTGAAAGGTCTCTGTGCTCACGACGCACTTGCCCCCCAACGCGTTTGTGGCACAGTGCAAATTCCAGAATGTTCGAGCACACATTAGATTCCATAGTTCAGTGATTCTAACGTTGTGCAATCCACAATCGTAAATGTAAATGGCAATATATATATATATATATATGTGTGTGTGTGTGTGCCACGAAGCGCCATACTGATTTATCATTTCAAAATGATGACGTGTTGACAAGCACTTTAGACCCTACACTGAGCTAAATATTCTGTGCAATGAACAATCAATGAAGTGAGAAGAAAGCATGTACAAATGGGGAATAGTACAATTGAGGTCTTGATTCAAGACAAATGTAGATGCCGCACATAATCGCACTTTCAACTAAATTCATACAAAGTACATACCATCCAAAGAATCACTTATTTTCATTAGTATTAACATTAACCTATTTATAATACATGCACTAGTAAGTGTAATTGAAAGTGAATTATGAAATTAATTTTTTATAACTCAATTACTGTGTCTTCCACGAAATTCTGTGAAAGGAATTTGAAGCCAACAACCCTCTAGCTATAATCTGATTACATTTAAACTAGCGTAATCAAATTGGTTCATGTGCAGGATGAAATTATTAGCATTGCAATAGTATTATGTGTTGTTAAATTAAAAGGAAATGAGATAACCAATTTTATTGAATATCTTTTATTTTAATATCAACGTAAAATGCTCCAACTGATTAATATCCATTTGAGTTTAAATGGTAAGGAAACAGAAATGCATAACAATATTAACCATATACTTGGATTTTGAATCTCCTTTTCAGAGTAGTTGAGAAAATAGCTAAATCTGAAGATGACGAGAATTCAGAGGAATCAGAGGCAGCCCCACCCCTTCTGCGTCCGATCTCGGAGGACGATGATTTTGATGATGGAACATCTGCCTGGTCCACACGTTTTTGTGCTGGTGGTTCAAGGGCTGCTTCCATTCTGATCGCATCAAATTACTGGCATGGAGCCTTCACCATAGCCAACAACAGGTGCAATATGCTTAGTTATATGCAACTCTATTTTCAAGGTCAGTAAAGTAAGATGTTGTCCTAATCTGATTAGGTGAACATGTCTAGACATAATTTTCTATGTCAACACATAGCTTTCGAAATAATCAATATGCACGGCTCAATTCTCCTAATTCTACTCAAATACGTCAGTCCAACCTGTGGTAAAGTTCATTAATCATGTTAATCGTCAATGCTAACTCCCTGTCAAATGTACAAACGAATGATGAAATTGCACCATCAATGGCACATCGATGATTCACATGTTCGCTGAGTTTATTTGATCATAGAAATATGCTTAGTTAATCGAATAATATGACCACAAAGTGAAACATTAGTTGACAGTCATGTAGGCTGAGATCGATGGCTTTCCAGTGATATTGATTGGCAACATGAGCGGTGATTGACTGGGAGATTCTCCCAAGTGCATCGCTTGTTACCTTCTCTCTACTCAAGTCAAGTATTATAGGTACTTTGCTAGAAGGCTCGGGAAGTATAGGTGGCATGTGTTGTCCAATGTCTTCAACAGTGAAGAGGCCAGTTCAATTTCCATTTCCGATAGGTGGTACATTTTTATGAAAGTCCTTGAATCCATCCAGACGAGGGTGCATAGTGAGGTAGCATATTGTTTTCTCTTCTCAAGCAACAGTCATAATGTTCCTTTTTGATATAAGTTTGAAATTAAATGTTAGATAAGTAAAAAAGGTTAAGGTGAGATAGATGGGTCTAAAATTTTTTCCATATTTACAGTTATTTAGTGAGCCACATTGGTAGAGGAACATCAGTAAAAATTCGCAAATAAAACCTTTCTTGGCGAATCTAAAAGAATTATGTGGTTCAAGCGAAGTATTCATGCTAAAGCTGCTGCCATGACGTATAATGTTGGAATTTTTATGTCATCGTTTAGTAGATCGATACCTTTTTTAGTTGCACAAAACAAAAAACCCCCAAATTCGGTTCTATCCTTGTTAAGTGAGTTCATGCATTCTACTTAAACGTTATTTCACATTTAGTAGTTTCATTCTCGAATACCAATTAACATTTAAAAGCGTACCTATTTACTCTTTTAAACATTGGTTTAAATTTTCAATAATATATAACAAATGTGACCCAATTTCGTGTTTTCGGAAAATTCCGAAACTTCGAAATTGCTTCAATGAACCTTACAAGATGTATTTTATCAGTTCACTTGTATTCTCGTGAGCAGAACATTTTCTGCTAAAGGTGTGCTTTTGTCCTGTTCCAAATGCAAGTCAGTTGGATAGATTAGACAAATTCCTAATCTCATTTCAGTGCCGACATGGGCTGGTGGAACGTTTATGTTGGCTGGGGACAGAAATACGAACAGAGTGTCAATACACGATATCGGGTCCTTCCCTATTCCATAGCTGATGAATTTGAAGATCCAGACGTGGAGCTTCAGGAAGCAATAGATCCAACTCCAGAGGAGGAGGAAGAGTGGAAAGCCGCTCACGCAAAAATCATGGAAGAAGAAACTGAAAAATCGTCTCGAGAAAGTAATGAGGAAGAGAGTGAAGAGTTAGAGACTGATGAAGAAGATGCTTAACGAAACAAAGGTCGATATCAAAGGAAATTTAAATTATTAAAATCATCAAAATAAAATAATCAAACATTCCTTAATATAAAAATTTATTATCATATTGATTAGTTTCCAAACCAACACTAAGAATGGTTAGTCATTGAGAAAATATAAAAAAAGGGTAATGTCATAAATCAATTAAAATGGAGGCCAGTAAAAAATTAAACCTGTAAAATTTATTTATGGCGAATGGCAGGCTTTATGATAGTTATCATTAGCCATTTAGCTGACTTATGGCTTCACAGAGGAGGAGGAACATCAAAGAGTCACAAAAAGTCGAGGGAGAGGGGTACAGAAGAATGGTTCACGGGTGTAAAAGAGACAGACAGACAAACACAAAGGTAGAGAAATAGGTAAGGTGGGTACCGTGGAAGTGATGGAATATGATAGATAGTGGGTCCATGGTAGTTTAAAGTGAGAAGTCAACTGCCGTTTTGTAGGCAGGGTGCACCAGGTGGAGGCAAGTCCATCGCGCATCCCAAAAACTTACAATATAAGTCTAGTCACAATATTAACATGTGTTACTGATGTAGCGGATTGCCACTCTAGAAAAACCTGACTGACTCAGAAATCTGTTTGGAAGATTCTCCTACATCAAGCTTGACTCCCAGAACCAGATAATCTATTTCCCAGCTATAGAGGAAACAGACGTATCGCACGGAACATGTTTATCCAGTAAATTATTATTATTATTATTATATCAAATGGCAGGCGTCTTGATGGTTATCATTAGACCTTTAGTTGATTTCAAGCTTCACAGAGAGGAAGGTACATCAAATTGAAAAAAGTCGAGAGGGGAGGGGGAACAGTAGTGTTTCAAAGACGAAAGTAGATAAGGTGGAAAAAGGTGGGATGAGTACTATGAAAGTAGTCTAATATGACATATAGTGAGGTGATGGTAGATTATTATTATGTCAAATGGCAGGCATTTTGATTGTTATTATTAGCCCTTTAGTTGACTTCAGTCTTCACAGAGTGGAAGGAACATCAAAGTGTAAAAAATTCAAGAGGGGGGGGACAGAATAGTGTATTAAAGACAAAGGTAGATAAGGTGGAAAAAAAGGTGGGATGAGTACTGTGAAGGTAGTCGAATACGACATACAGTGGAGTCATGGTAGTTTGAAGTCAACTGCCAGGTAATAGACTTTTTTGCCGTATGAGTATACGTTGCCCAGGGTGCACCACGTGGAGGTAAGTCTATCGCACACCCCAAAAGCGAGCCGTGCCGTGACCCGGGATCGAACCAGGGACCTTTAGATCTTCAGTCTAACGCTCTCCCAACTGAGCTACCACGGCGCTCGCCCAGTAAGTATAATATGGGTAAGTGCACACTCAGGTAGCTTAGTCATAATTAGCATGGCGAATTAGGTTAAACAGAGGCTTCTGATTTGCCACTGGTTGCACGGCTGCTGCACAGAGAGTTGTGCGGCCGCACCTCCCCATCCTGGCGTGCGTGCATGCGATGACGTGTCCAACAGACATGACAATTTAATGAACTTATTTAATATGACCAGCAAAATACCGATTCGTGCCAGATTCTTTAGTGTCTCGATTCGGTTAATTTTTACTCATGATCACCGATCAATTGCAATATTGTATTTTCATAAGGTCTCTTAACGATTGGCAATATTTTAGCTCTTCATATTTAAAAAATATCTTAAATACGCCCTCATTTGCTATTTTAAAAAGCCTTTCAGTAATTAGGAGTTAATATATGGATCATTTAACTACTTATAACCATTAGTTCCAACTCTCTATTTTTAAATTAAGATTTAGTTTACGCTATGTGCACCAAGTATTTTATTTTAGTGGTTATGAATTATGGTCTAATTAGCTTTTAGGAATGGTTTTAATTTCATCTATTTTTAAGTTTCAGCGTGTGATAAATCTGAAGTTTCGAAATTCGCACTGATTTTAATGATCGCAAAAACTATTTTCCTCCGCAATAGTGCCTTTGAAATAACTCGATCTGACTAGATCGAAGTACATTGAAGTCCTTTGTTAACATGGTGACAATAACAAAGGAATTCATTGTTTTGTTAAAACAGATAATTACTTATGTTACGACTTAAAAAATCCCAGTTTGTTCCTCGAAAGTAGCTAATTCCTTATGCAAGGTGGAACTAGGTACGTCAAGTTCTAATCACAAAGAATTTACGGAGTTTTACGCGGGATAGACTCCCGGATCTCAGACATTATTTTTTAAACTAAACCAGGAAAAGTAGCTACCAGAGGTACCAATAGCCAAGGAGCTCAGAACAGTCCCCAAACTTATCCGATTCAGAGAAAAATTGTTAGAGTATATTTACCAAATATTTCTAAGCTTGGATGACCCTCTAACCAGTATTTACATTTAAATTTTTTAAATGGTAGGCGTTTTGATAGTTATCATTAGCCTTTTAGGTGACTTCAGGCTCCACAGAGAGGAAGGTACATCAAATTGAAAAAAAAGTCGACAGGGGAGGGGGAACAGTAGAGTATTTCAAAGATGAGAAAGAGACAGACACAAAAGTAGGAAAAAGGTGAGGTGAGTACTGTGGAAGTAGTCAACTATGACATGCAATGGGGTGATGATAGTTCAAAGTCAGAAGTCAACTGCCGGTTAATAGACTTTTTTGCCGTATGAATGTACGTTGCCCAGAGTGCACCACATAGAGGCAAGTCTATCGCACACCCCATTTACATTTAAAATGAGACTTTTCCTCTTCAATAGAAATCTAAAATAGAAATAGCAAGTTCAAGAATACTTATCAGTCTCTAACGGATAGTTGGGTAGTGTCCACATATTTGAGGTTCGAAAATTCCACTTTATGTTAAAATTATTTCCGGCAACGTGTTTTAGGAAAGCGACTCCTTGATACACTTTTTGGACAAAATTCCAAGCCGACAGACTTACGCGTTAGTTAAAAAAGGTACTATTGTGCCGTCATTTTATAAACGCAGTTGAGTAAAAGTACATTTTCTTACAAAGGTGTTAGTGACCGAAAGTGAAAACTAATAAGAGAAAAAAATGGGCGAATAAATATTTACATTTTACACAACGGATACACAATAAATTTTGTGGAAAACATGAAGTAATATCGAAATTGGTCAAATAGGTTAAATAACCAACTTTCTCGGAGAAACTCGAGTACCATAGACTGGATTGGAATTAGATTGAACCATATCAGGGAATCCTACGAAATAGAAGTATAATTCTACTGAAGAGGTCATATATTTGGATCGATATCTGCATTTATCCAAGTCATTAAAAGTCGCTTTCACTGATTATTACTTTTTCTGAAATAAAACGTATCCAAATACAAATCCCCATTCAAGAAAAGTCCTCATTTATAGAACTTCTACCAAATTTACAAAGAGTTTCTCAATTAAACCAAGCTAAAGTTTGTAAGAGCAAAGTTGAAAACATTTTTCACCAACCACAACAGAATTGACCATTTGAGTAACCTCACCATGTTTTTTACTGGGACACTAAAATGGGTTACCCATTTCCTCTTTCAAAGTTTCCCACTTAACGAAACTTAAAGTCCATTTACGATAACCACATCTGCTCAGACTGACCCTATTTGACTAAATAATGCTAAACCCATTTCTTGAACCTTAATCCACTTATTGGCTCATCAAAATGGAAGCCACTAGTCTCAATTTCGACTTTCAACTTTATGAATGCTGGCGATCTTTAATAAGTGGAGCTGGAGTAATAATTTTAGAATGCCTGTTTAATACCGTAGGCGTCCCAGTTACCATGGCATAGTCGTTGTTATTTTATTTCTTTTGTGAATTTATGGTTGTATAACATACATTGGTTAAGGTGCATTGAAAGATCAACATCTTCTTCTTTAAATCTCCCTTCGAAGGACTATGCTAAAAAACCTATTTACTTAGACTCTGATAACAATGAATAGTATTAAATCAATAGTTTTAATTGCGCCTCTACCAAATAAATCAGCGTGTACTGTATTGTCGCTTTGATTCCTATAATAGTAAGGAGATTAAGGAATCAATACTGACCAATAATTTCATACACAGGACACCTGAAAGATCGTTCCTTCACAGGATCGATGAACCTTACAATGTTTTCAGTATACACCAAATTATTGCCATAATATCAAATTCACAAGCCATCTTTTTGTCGCGAGTGCTGGTGGTGGGTCATTAAAAAATACTGTCATTCTACTTTCAAGGCTACAAACACCATGATTAACTCCAAAGTAGAGAACGAATTAATTAAAAATTTCGCAAAAAATCCCAAGCAATACCCTTTCTCCTCGTCATACATTTCTTCCACTTATTCGCCTAAAGGATAGGCGCTTACTTCTTAATAATCACGTATTAATAGTTGAATAAACAGAAATTCAATAAATCACTTGAACTAAAATTTATTTTGAAAACCACAAAAAGAAGTACCATTTTAATACAATAAAAATTATGGACAAGTGCCATGTAAGGAATTTTAATCACCGCGATAAGTAAATATATTTTTACAAGTCTCATGCAGTTTTACTTCCAAATCCAATTTTAAATCGATATGGGGTCGAAGACTCTTCCAAATAAAGACGACAATATTCTCCGATGTACTGACCACTCCGTTATCCCGAAAGTAATCCACATCCTTGTCCACATTCTTATGATCAAGGGGTGTCATAACAAAGGTGTCGATAATTCTTTTCAGAGTGTTCAAATTAATAACCATTCCAGTTATAGGGTCAACTTCTCCACACACAGTCACCTCCAACTGAAAGTTATGTCCGTGGCCATTTTCTCCTGCACATTTCCCAAAAATGTCCTCATTCTCCTCTTTACTGAGTTTGGGGTTAAAGAGTCTATGAGCAGCTGAAAAATGTTCTACACGCGTTACAGACACTCGAGGACACATGCTCTCTCTGTTAGGTCGATGTTATCACCACTTTGCAAACCAAAACTCGCTTTTAGTATTCCCTACAGTTTGCACGAGGTGATTGGTCAATTAAATTAGCCAGTAAACCGCACTCTGGCTATAGCTCTACTAGACGTAGACTTAATCGAACTCTCTTGGCTTTCGTATTTTTTTTGCAAAAAGTATCACGACTTGGCTGGTAATTATTTATTTATATCAAATAGCAGAGGTTTTGATAATTATCATTAACCCTTTAGCTGACTTCGGGCTTCATAGAGGGGAGGAACAGCAAAGTGAAAAAAAATCGAGAGGGGGAGCAGAAGGAATATTCAAAAATTGGCAAAAAGTCGAGAGGGGGACAGAATAATGATTCAGGATGTAAAAGAGATAGACAGACACAAAGGTAGAGAAAAAGTATGTAAAAGAGACAGACAGACACAAAGGCAGAGAAAAGGCAATATGAGAAAAAGAGGCAGACAGACACAAAGGTAGAGAAAAAGGGATAAAAGAGACAGGCAGACACAAAGGTAGAAAAAAGGTGAGTACTGTTTACTTAGTCGAATATGAAATGCGGTGGGGTCTTGGACTGTTTACTTAGTCGAATATGAAATGCGGTGGGGTCTTGGTAAAAGAGACAGACAGACACAAAGGCAGAGAAAAGGTAGGTAAACAGATACAAAGGCAGAGAAAAAGTAGGGATAAGTATGGTGGAAGTGATCGAATAAGACATACAGTGTGCAGGCAGACACAAAGGTAGAGAAAAAGGTAAGATGAGTACTGTGTAAGACACAAAGGTAGATGAAAGGTGAGGTGAGTACTGTGAAGTGACACAAAGGTAGAGAAAAAGGTAAGGTGAGTACTGTGGTGGTGGTGGAATATGACATACAGTGGGGTCATTGTAGTTTGAAGTGAGAAGTCAACTGCCAGTTTATAGACTTTTTGCTGTATGAGTGTACTCTGCCAAGGGTGCATCACGTGCAGGTAAGTCTATGGCCCACCCCTGGCTGCTAATTATAACAACTGCTAAAATCATTTCTAAAAAATAACATATTGGCCACCATTACGCAAGTTATTACAGCTATTACACCTTAAGAGTCTAGACGCAAAGAGTTCACCACTTGAACCTAATTTTTGGAGGTTATTGATTTAGGGACTGACCCGAAGAATAGACATTTGACCCGTGTATGATTTTTGTAAATATGGCATGCCCACGAATGTAAATTTTGTTAGAGCATGTTGATTAAATAGAGCAGAGCTAGCAGTTAAATTTGACGCTAAATCACATAGGGTTGACCTGAAAATCTTGCCTGTGCAGTTGCACTCCTTACAAAAGTAGGCTGCAAGAACCAGGAAAGATGAAAAAATACATCAATAATAATTAATTAAGTAAATCTCATTAGATTTGTCTTTTTATAACCTAAAATTTGGGCTTAATTGAAATAGTTAAGTAGTGAATCTTTTTCCCAATAAAATGTGGGTTTTTAATACCGTAATGCCAACTAGTAGTTACAGACAATAGAAGCTCTAAAAGTTTAATGAATAAACTAGGTCAATATTGGGTTGTTGTTTATTAGCAACATGTAGATTTATTAGATTCAATAGTAGGATGTGCGAAAAACCCACCTCCACCTGGTGCAACCTGGAAATGTATACTCATATGGCAAAAAATGTCTATTAACTGGCAGTTGACTTCTCACTTCAAACTCCCATATACCCACTCTATGTCATATTCCACCACTTTCACAGTACTCATCTTATCTTTTCTCTGCCTTTGTGTCTGTCTGTCTCCTTTACATCCGTGTATCACTCTTTTGTTCCCACTCATGAATTTTTCTCACTTTGTTGTTCCTCCTCTCTGTGAAGGTCCGAAGTCAACTAATGGGCTAATGATAACTATCAAAACGCCGGCAATTTGATATAAAGAGATATTCAAGTGTTAAAATGCCGACAACTTTTAAAATAAAATATATTTATTATTTAGATATTCAAACGAAATACAATTTTTTCTCCACTTCTGAAAGGTAAGGAGATATCTCCCTTCTTAAAAAGTTCAATAAATTGTAATTCAACGAAGGTGAGGAACATGCATTTAAAATGAGATGAGTTGAAATTTGAGGTTGCCTGAATTGCATTTCATGAAGTTTAGTGAATCTCGTGAAAACCCATAACTGAACTTCCTGCGTCCAGTTTGGCATGAAGGTACTTAACGATCCCCCCCCCCCCTGTTTGAGCACATGCTTCAAGATTACTTTATAACCACCTTTTCACGTGAAAAAACTACAATCCGAACCTCTTAGTAAGTCGATAACTTGGCAGAGTTATTTAAAGGGTTGAATGTTTCAATGTCCCTGTGTCTAAACTTAGTATTTTATGCGTGAGTTTAGGGACTTGAATCAGAGTAATCTCCTTCCTCGTTTCTGCGTCTTCTTTGAACAAAAATCAATAAACGAATTTCGCTGAGTTCGAAAAGTTATCAAATTAACTACCAATCATTAGGATGATACCATGCTGATGGTTAAAGTCACTTCATTGTCATTCAAGTATACTTTTCCATCATTCAGAATCTATTTTCAAGCGCAGTTTGTGGGACACATCATCGCCTAACGATTCATCGCATGCACGTACTCTAGGAATGGGGAGGTGCAGCCGTACAACCCGTGGCCAATCAGAAGCCTCCGCTTGTTTAACCTAATTCGCCATGCTTATTATGACTAAGCTCCCTGAGTGTGTACTTTGCCCACATTACATTTACTGAATAACCATGTTCCGTGCGATACGTCTGTTTTCTCTATAGCTGGGATATAGCTTATCTAGTTCTGGGAGTCAAGCTAGATGTAGGAGAATCTCTCGCAGAGATTTCTGAGCTTAGTCAGGTTTCGTTAGGTAGCTAATCCACTACAGGGTACAATTGAAGATATACTCATTGAAAAACAGCGGTTAACAGCATTTGCTATATATTCATGGTCAAAAAAGTCGCTGGTAATCTCTTATGACGTTGCCTTGGTGTAGTTACCTTGATTTCGTTATCATCGAACCAGAAGTCCATTTGAAAGTTTAAACTTTCTAGGTTATCGAGATGCCTATCTACTGTTATTAAGAAGATTGTGATCGTTAAAGTTAGAAATAATGAAAGCATCGGCGTTTTTGTATTCACCGTGAATTTGCTTCATTTGTGTGTTTATCCGAAGTGATTGCAAAAAAGTAATTTGTGTCCTCAAACCCATGTAGACTGATTCTATGCTCGGATTAAACTTATTTCAGTTCTGCAATTTGATAATTACCTGAATGGTGAATTTGAAACAATTACAATTATAGAGACTCATTGTTGAATGACAAAAAATGCAATTCTGGGAAATAAATAGTAGATAATCTTTAATTGCATGCAAAAATAGACCTCTTCTCTACTTCAATTCATGGATAACGAAGCTGTGTATCCATTTTGCCAGTTTACAATCCCCCCATTACTTTGCCCTATCACTGGTTATAATTAGCTCAAACGAACGTAATCTGTGAATCAAATATTTATTTATTATTGATCTCAAATGGTAGGCTTTATGATAGTCATCATTAGCCTTTTAGTTGACTTCGAGCTTCAAAGAGTGGAGAAACATCAAAGTTACAAAAAGTGGAGAAGAAAAAGGTGAGGTTCTATTTATTCATTTATTTCAAATGACAGGCGTTTTGACAGTTATCATTAACCATTTTGCTGACTTCGGGCTTCATAGAGAGGAGGAGGAACATCAAAGTGACAACAGGTTGAGAGGGGGACAGAATAATGATTCACAGATGTGACAGAGACAGACAGACAAAAAGGCAGAGAAAAGGTAAGCTGAGTACTGTGTTATTGGTGGAATATGAAATACAGTGGGGTGATGACATTTTGAAGTCAGAGGTCAACTGCCAG